TCAGCAGGACTTGCTTCTGTGTATGCAGTTACTAAATTTTGACCCCAGTACCATATTAAAAAAAATTTTTCAGTAGCCTGTGAATTATGTATCTCAAAAAAACCTGAATCTTTCTGTTTTTATAGATGGACTTTTGGAAAGACTATTCAACTAACGGCCCTAAAATAAAATTAGGTAAGTTATCTTTTTGTTTTCCTTACATTGCAGTATTTTGTGTTTGTTATAATAGTACATTCTTAAAAATACATCATGCATTCAGATAGAAAAATCAGAATTGAAATTCCCTGTGAATTGTTCAAGTATACAGCATTATCTGATACAATAAATCATACTCCCTGAGTCATCTTACAGTGACATCCATTGTAAGTCTGTAGATAAATGGACAGAAATGTTATGTTGCTGTTCTTTGTTGTATTACACAATCAGTAAACTTTGCAGTAATTCTGTGTCTTCTTACTGTGGTTTTGTTTGTGTGTCCCCCCCATTTCTTTAACAGTAATGTAACAGTCTGATTTAGGTTCAGAGTAGTTGTGTGCCAGACGTTTTATTAAAAAAATGGTCATTATGACTCAAGGAAAGATCTACAGCCTGATCAAGGTCAGAAGTACATGAAATAGCATTTGGAAGGCATTAGAAGACAGACATCTCAACAGCTTTATGTACAGAAAAGGGAATCTCCTCACTTTTGCGTTAAGCTGAATGTGAATGATATTCGTGGGTTATGTTGCACAGATATTACAGCTTCTTACAGCAAGCTAGAAACATTAAAAAGAACAGCTTTACAGCAAAGCAAAATGAGTATTTTACAGTGTACACAGTATACTATGTAGACAGAACACATAATGAAAATAACCAATGTTTTCTCTTCAGGTAATGAGACGCTAGAAAAGATTAATGTTACGGGACTTCTCATCAGTCTAGTTACTGCTGGAGTACTGTTAGTTATAATTGCACTGCTTATCTTCTACTGCTGCAAAAGTAGATGCAAATCAAGGCAACCACCAGGGTAAGGAATTTCACTGCTGAAAATAAAAAATAAATCACCAAGACAAACTCTTTTGCTTAAGAGTGGAGTTTAAAAGTCACTGTGGGTTAGTCTAACTGTATTCTCAGAGAATACAATGGAATTTCTAGTTCTTACTTTCCTGGAAGCAAAGCTGGGTAAGCCCTAGCAGTAGCTATACTGAAGTTAATAAAACAAAAAAGTACACCATCACTTGCGTGGCTGACATACCTTTGGGGTTTTTTTTGTACATGTTCTTGGTTCCAAACTCTTACTAAAAAGATAGAATCATTTTAATAGGTTCTGGCCTGCAGTGGAAAGTCTAACGTGTTCTGTTTGCTCTTTAAAGTAGGTGGTACACACTTCATGACATGTAGCCTACCTCAGATGTGAAATGTAGTAGGTTGGAGGAAATGCTTCTTTACCTGTTTATTCCTTTATCCTAAACTTGAAAGGGATGAGCAAGGAACCTGTCCTTTCTCTTCCCTATAAATTTCATGTTACTGAGCTAGTCTTACCCTGGGTTTGGAAAGAGTATTTGGTTTCTGGTCTTTATGATCATCGAAGGGAAGTGTTCTTTTATTGTGTTGTTTTGGGGATTTTTGTTTGTTGTTTTTTTGTTCTGTTTTTTACAACTAAGACTTTGTATTCATTCTTCTCTTTAAAAGAGAAGCTGTCACTTACACCGCTGTTAATTTTGTTTAGGTACTTGCATTATGTAAGAAGACATAATTCATCTAGCATCTTCAGAAGGCACGAAGAACTTTCTTTAAACCCACTTCCTCCCACAACTGATGATTCAGCACTACCAACTTATGAGCAAGCAGTTGCTTCAGATGGACAACACAATGTGCCACCACCCCCTTACCCAGGGCCCCCGAAAGGGACACGGTTTTTGAAGAAGTCTATGTCGCTTCCTGGTCCTTAATGACAAACCTTCTGGAGTGAGGGGCAACATGCTTTTTTTTTTTAAAAAAAAAGTGCGTGCTACCTTGCATATTGCAAGACAGTTTAAAAAATGTGAAAGATCTTTAGCACAACTCAAAACAAGTGAAGATCCCATCTGGGAGAAGAGGTGACCCGTTGCAAAGGCTGCAGGACTGTTCTTTGCACAAGATTATTGCACCAAGAGGAGGGAATGCATAAAGAGCAAGTCTTGTACTGCTGCCCTCTTTCATGGACACCTTGAACCATCCCATCATACTACTGATGTTTCAGTAATGTTTTTGGTCTCTTTCTTCAGAAGGAACAGCATTTTAATTGGTTTTATTGACACCATTTTTTGTGACTATTAATTCTTGGAACCATAAGAAATCTACTTTGTCATTTGATATATACAATTCATGGCTGTGTGAATTGTCTATTCATTTTAGTAATAGATTTCAGTATGAAAATATTTCATGACTTCATCTTTCACGTGTATCTGTTACTGCTTCTGGATTACACTGGTTTGTTCTAGACATTGCTGGTTAACACACTACTCAGCTTGGTTTTTTTGTGGTGATAATTTTGGATTAAAAAGAACTATGGCACATGACCCATTCAGACAAAGTACACTTTTATCAAATGGTTTTGATGTTCAGCACTAAATACGAGGTTGAAGTGAATGAGTGCTATGGGCCAGGGGATGTTAAGCAAACTTCTGAAGATTTAGCCCTTGTTATAAAGTACCTAGTTTTCACAGATGTTTCTCTTGCACTATAAAAATTTAAATGTTGAAAAAGACATTTAGCTTGTCAAATCAAAGGCCAAATTACCCCACAGAAGCATTTCCCCTAAGTATTCAGCCTAGTAGGATCGCAAAATTATACTTTTAAGTAGAATGAGACATCATAACATATAAATAGCCAACATCCACAGAGCAATAGTGAAGAATTTCAGGAAGTTTCTATATTTCTAGTTGCAGCTAGTCTTAATTTTACATCTTATTAAAAGATCAACCCATACCACTAGTCTTGCTAAGCAAGTCACAGGCCAACACTGCTATCCCTTTAACCCCTCATCTAATGGCACCTTCATGGAAAAGGCTTCCCTGAGCCCGAGGAAGCCTGTCAGAGTGTCTCCCAGGCTAGGTGACAGCCTGGCATTTTCTGGCATTACAGTAGCTATATAGTTGGAGACACACAAGTTGGTTTGTTGTGTTTGGTTGTGTTTTTTTAAAAAAAAATAATCAACAAATTCCACTCCCCCCATCATCATCTGACCACTGCTGACAGCAGTAAACAGTATTTTAATTTGGTGTCTAAAATGTATTTTATTATATGTAATTTTCACCAAATTATGATTTTTAACATGCTAAAACCTACAGTGCTACTGAGTGAGATGCAGAGAACTGCTATGAGATTTGTAATCTGTAAATGCTTTTGTAAAGGAGAAAATGCTCCAAAGCTTGGAATATTGAGGGCATACTGAAAAAGCTGCACAAGCAGGTCTTGCTTTTGAAAAAAAAAAATATATATATAATCCAGTTGAGATCAGTGGACATTGAACTGTGTTCTTACTCCTGAATTTTCAGCATCAAATTTGGCTTTTCACAAGTCACAAACCTCTCTGCAGCTTGTTTCTTGTTGGGCAGTGGGGGAAGCCCCTTGTCAGGAAAGCTGCAATCCACTTTTCCCTACTTGTAAAAGCATTTTGAAGTTCTTGAAGGTTACTACTCCATAAGACTGTGTAAGATCACTGCTGAAAACCAAAACACTGAGCTATGATGAAGCTATTGAATTATAAGCTTGCAAAAAGATATCTCCTGTATTTCCTTTTCACTAAGCTAATAATTTTTAAATTTGTAAACGTGCATCTTGAGCTATAGGGCACACTTTTCTCTAGATTCTTCCTGGCACTCAAAAATGACTAATTTAATGGGACTAATAGAAGCCCTTTCCAAGGTAAGCCCAGTGAAATCCTTTCTGAGAGTTCATAGATTCTTTAATGTTACTACAGTGATGTATGCTTCTGGCAAAGTCACATTTTAATAAACAACAGAAATTGCACAGAAACGTATTTAATCAGCTGAAATTTGATTCTTCCTACAAATAATTTGCAAATAATTCCATGCAACGCAAGCAAAAATGTTGCCCTTCATAATTAACAGAAAACCCTTATGGTCTGTTAAACATCAGTGCTGTGGCACTTTGGGCAGTAAACTGCACCTTCTAGGGCCTAACACTTCAAATTTTCACAATGAATCTGCACATCAGACCCTGAAAATACTCAAATTATGCAGTGACTGACTTTCAAGTCCTGGTTGCACATAATATGCAAGACATCCTGCTTATAATAAATAGCAAAGTTTAAAATTTAATTAACATAATATAAACTCACTTGTCCTTGTAAAGTTCCTCTGAATGGCGGTTGCTTGGTTCTTTTTGGTGTAGTCTTTTTTTTTTCTCCTGCTTTCATACACTGACTCCTGGCCTAAGACGCTCTAACCTTTTATCATCTTTTAGATATTGTGATTCATCAGGGTTAGCAGAGGAAAATTAAACAAATAGATTATGGTGACTTGTGAACTCAGAAATGTTGTCACATTTCCAAATTTTACAAGCAGTTTCCTTTGAAAATGCAGCTGCTATTAGAATATAGAAAACGGCAAATCCAAGTGTCCTTAACATACGAGGAGGGAGAGGTACGTTTTTAGGAGCAAAGCAGCAGTGAGTTTAATCTAATTAGTATACAGATTTACATAACCAGTGTTTTGACTTCCAGACTTTCAGTCAAGGGCCAGCACAAAAGGCAGTGGATTTTAGGTGAATTTACAGAGATCTGCTATGACAGTTGAAAACAGTGTCTAAAGAAAACACTGTGAAAAACTATGCAGTACTTAAGTTCCGTTTGTCTCAAAACAGGTTTAAGCATGCCACACTAAATGCCATTTGCCATTGCCTTGAACCATTTTCCAAAATGTAGCCCTTTTGGCATCCTAGAAAATCACAACATTGAACTTGTTATGAATCAGTACAGACTGTAGTTACAGCAAATAACTGAAGGCCAGAAAAATGGTCTCTGGCTCTGTCCAGTGAAAAATAACCTGCTTTTTGCTTCAGTGAAATAAGAAAGCATACTATTTGATTTATCAAAGCCTCTGATGAATAGTATTATAAACATTATGGGGTTTTTTGTTTGTTTGTAGGGGGTTTTGTTGTTGTTTTTTTTGTGGTTTTGGTGTTTTGGTTTGGTTTTTTTTTTTTTTTTGCTAGCGGCTTTGTGAATTCATTAAGCAGAGCAAAACCCAAGCACTAAATAGAAGTGCACTTCCTCACCACAGTTCATGAAAACAAGAGTCATGAAGCATTTGATTCTTGCTCCTATCAAAATCTTTGGCTCCAGCTAAACTGGGATTGGAGCCAAAAATGAAATAACTGATCACTTCAGGTAATAAAAAGTATAACGCTCTGCCAAATTATTTACTACAATGCTGTTGCCAAACCTGATTTAGAGTATTCTATTGTTTTAGTGATGCCTACTTACATTAACTAGAATGTTGGAGACTGATCTGCCCTACAAAGTGTATTGAAAATTTGGAAAGCACAGGAAAATTCCTTGTCTCTCCATAGATTACTGGCCTTGAATAAGCTGCATTAATTACGTGTCAGTTACTAGCAACATAGTTTAATTACTTTAATCAGATTTAAAGCTTTTTTAAAAAAAAACACCAAACAAGAAACTTTTCTATCCAGTCTCATCTGCCAGCAAGTTTTATTGTTGCTATCCTTACTTGTTTCATGTGCTGCAGAGAGCAGGAAGGAAACCCCAGGTTTAAAAGCCATCTTTCAGACACTTTGAGCTTGCTCTTCGCATATTGTAAATGTCTTTCACTTAGTTCCTATTGCATCCAAATTTATTACTCTACCATCTTCACAGTCAAGAATTTGGATGTATTTCCTTTCAAAAATCTTAAGCACATCTTCCCAAATACACTGCTCTGTATTCAGGTGGTAATTTTAGACTACTTCCAGCCATTTCTGAACTGTGTAAACAGTTCTTGGTACTTAATCTTATGAATGTGTTTGCTTCTACTCATCTGACAGAGCCTTTTGAACGCACTTGTCACTGGTTATATTTTAATTCTAACTTTGATATTAAGTGCTGTTATTTTTCTGCTAGTCTCTATTTTTGGAAAGCAATTTTCAGATAAACATTTATGCAGGTTAATCACAGCAAAAGAGAACATGATAATTCAGTCTGTGATAAGAAGTTAAAAAACCTCTGATAACCCTTTTGAATATTTTTTTTTTTTTAAATGAAATTGGTAACTGCATGCACTCTTAAGGTATTTAATAGGGGCTTATAAGAAAGATCAGGATAAACTGTTGCAATAGGACAAGGAAGGGTTAATGGCTTTAAACTAAAAGAGGGTAGATTTAGACTAGATAATAAGAATTTTTTTCTGATGGGGCTGATGAAACACTGGAACAGGTTGCCCAGATTAGTTGTGGATCCTGGAAACACTCCCGCTCCCTGGAAGCATTCAAGGCTATGTAGGACAGGGCTCACAATGGCAACCACACTATTTCTATGAAAAGTATCAAATGTATTTTGGCTATTTTTGATGCAGTAAATTTTATCCCTGTTGAAAATATATATAACTACATTAACTACTATTGCTTTACATGTAACTTCACATTTCCTTTTGTTTTTTCCTTGTTGTACCTATAATGATCTATTGAACTTCTTTCTGTGTCTGTGTCTGGTTCCTTTTCCCATGTGTATTCATACTCTGCTATTGCAGACACTCACCTGTTTGCTGCTTAGCATTTTTTTTTGTTTGTGGGTGACTGGTTTTTGTGGTGGGTTTTTTTTGGTTTGTTTGTTTGTGGTTTTTTGTTTGTTTTGTTTAGTTTAGTTTTGGTTTTTTCCCCCCTTTTTTTTTTTTCCTGGACATGGTTCCCAAGCACTTGGTCCCTTCCCTCTCTATGAAAACCACTCTTC